CCCCCCCCCCCCCCATGTTCCAGCCTTTGGTTACACCCTTGATCAAAAGCGTTGGGGTAGTTTGCAAACCCTATGCATGTAGACTGTGTACAATGTAATAAACCTGCTTGCATGCAAATGCATATGCACACTTGTCTCGAATTGAAAATTTCACGCCAGCCATTTTACCAATGTTGGCACCCCTGCCCTGGTTCACCTCTGCCGTGTTTGATGTGTGTATCTGTCTCATTTATAAATGCACGCGTATTTGTGCAGTTGTCTGTGTACCTGTGTTTTACTGATCATTCACACTTTCTGTATTCGGGTGGGCGTTCACATGGTGACGAAATTTTGTTTAAAAAAAAAAAAAAACGCAATTTCTTTGTCTCGCAGTTTATAATTAGCGGCCTGTAATGTCTATGGATTGTGTCTGTTTTAATTTCTCTCTCTGTGTAATTTGTCTGTATGTGTCTCTGTATTTTGGCATGTCTGTATGCTTAATCATGATCATTTTTATGGCTGTGGGTGTAGGTGTAATCTTATTTACCCTGCATGTAAATCATCTTTGGTTGTGCTTTTATTGTGGCTTATGTGTGTGCGCGAGTTAGTATCTCTGTGAGTGTAATGTGTGTGTGCGTGCGTGTGCCCGCGTGTGTGTCTCAGTGACGGTGTCTCTAGGGTGCCCCTTGGGCTCTGGGCTCACTCTCCAGGTGCTCACCTCTGCTGATTGCCCGTGGCCTCTTGTACTGTGAATGTTAAGTCCTGCCATTTCGCCCAGATGCATAAATAATAACAGTAATTACTCGCACGGCAATCAAAGTGTCGCCCCGGCCTACAGGGTCTGTCTAGAGAGCAAATCGATAGGCATCTTAAAAGCCACATTGATTGGGGAAGAGTTAAAAAAAAAAAAAAAAAAAAAAACAGGGAAGGGGTGGGAAGAAAGAAAGACAGAAGAGAGAGATGTTTGGTGAGAGGACAGAGCAGAACATGAAAGGCAGGGACTGAGGACTTTGTAATTACAGTCGAGTAGATAAAGAGAAGGACTTTTATTTTGACGGTGCCACGGGTGTGTCTATCCCTCTCCTGACGTTCCGGGGACATGTGTCGCTTCCCTGATGGTTCGATTATCGAGCAGCTCACCCCCGCTGCAGCCAGCACCCAGTCCCAGCCCTGCGGCCCCACTTCTGTTGCTGTTCCTTTGTTTCTCCATCCAGGCTGGCTCGCCAGCCGCTCAGATAAAAACGAAACGCACTCAGATGATCCCGTTTTCGCTGGACGTGTTGATCCAAATGATGGTGATCGAGATTTCAACTCACGTTTTAAGGAAGGGAGACGAATTCATCATCATCATCATCGAGACTGTCTAGAATGAAGTTTTAATAGTATTGTAAGGGACGGATCGGGGCTGCGGGTTATTTATCCCACCCACCTGTGTTTACTGCCCCCATAATAGAGTCGGGTGTCTACTTTTCAAAGGAGGCCGGTCAGACCAGGTTAGACGTCCCATCCACTGTACAGGAGCCACAGCCCCCTCCCTGGCTACCTCTGGCTGGGGCTCGTCACTACTGGGTCTCAGGTCCCAAACTCCGTGACTTCCCTCCCTCTCTGGCAGCCTGCGGATTGATCCCGGCCTGGTTAACATGCAGACCCCGTTCGCCGGCCCCCTCCGTCCCGCCCCCATCACCCACCGCCCTCCCGCCCCCTCCTCTCCTCTACCATCAGTCAACGCTGGGCCGGCTATGCGTTGTGGACGACTGCCCAGTCGCCTCATACATATTAAATGGCCCTGCTATTATTTATATTCTGTCTCCCCCCCCCCCCCCACATAGTCGCCGTCTCTGATAGATGTGGACCGGACGTCCGCAGGCCCGTCTTTGTGTGCCCCCATCCTCCCACCCCCCCGCCCAAGACCATCGCTGGCGCCCCACAGGGCCGCATTTGCTCTGACGGCAGGTGGAATCCCTCTGCTCCATCCCTCAGACAGCGCAGGGAAGCGGCGACACTGTGATTAAGACCTGAGCCGGGCATAAATCACGCCGCTGACACGCCCTCGCCACGCTGATTAAAAAGGGATACTTTTTACCTGCCACTTTGTCCACTTCACCCTCAGCCTTGTTTTCATAATGCTTAAAACTCTCCTGTATCTTCCCGCATAAAATTTACTATAACACATGTCAAAAAAAACGAATACTAATATTACATATTGGCGCCACCTCATCTGTCATGGGCGTGACTTAGAGATTATAGATTAGAAGTTTTTTTTATATAGAATGCAATAGAAATGCCATGAATATCTTCTGTTCAAGGTATTTAATCTGAGCGTAGGACAAACAGGTCATATTTATGGGGGAGTCAATTGATGTAGCTCAGACAATGGGTTTCTTTCTAGCTTCGGACCAAAGCACCTCAATGGATGCTTCCGGGAAGGTCAGTTATTCAGATAGAGGGTGACGCACTAGCCGTCTGTTTGAGAGCTATAACACGGGGGGGGGGGGCTGAGGTGAGAGGGTGTCCCCCCCACGCTCTCTGTGGTCTCGGCGACGCTGTCAAGCGCGCGCCTGAGTGTGTAGCTGACCCAGCAGGGCGCGCCTTTTCACGGGGGTCGACGTGTTTTGACAGGTGGAGCTGACGGGGAGCAGCATCTTCGACTACATCCACCCTGCGGACCACCTGGAGATGGCCGACTGCCTGGGCATAAGGCCACACCTGAGGGCGGAGGTCGGGTGCCAGGGGACGCACGAGAGCACCTCCAGCTCCACCTCCTCACTGGCCGAGACGCCGGAACCCGGTGGGTGTGAGCGGAACTCGGAGCCAGCCCTACTGTCCGGCGCCCCATGGAATCTTGGTGTTCAATGGAAAAAATCGTATAATATACTAATATTGCCGAATTGGTTATATTAACATTGGCTAAAGAAAATGACACCTATGGAACGCTACATTCACTCTCTCCTACTTTGCTATCCCTCCATCGACGGTTTGACATACTCATCATCTCTGGGGGGGGGTTCATGCAGACGTAATGTCACGATAAAAAAGTATCGTGTGACAATGTGAGCATTGTCGAATGATTAATGAATCACACATTAATACCAAGTGTTATTACTTTATGAATCAATATACATGGTGGACTAGGTTCAGCCATGATATGTCTTGCAGATTGTCAGAGGGAACAATGTCTTCTTTTTGCTTGTATTTGCAAACAGTTTGGGAACATCTTGCCAGTATAAGAATGGTCTATGGAAATGACTGGAGCTTTTGAATGTCTAGAGGTTTCTTAAAGCCAACGCTGCAATTTTCATTCCTATTCGGCCACTTCGTTCTATGAATATTTGTTTATTTTATTTTTTTGTTTAGCAGGTACAAATGAGGCAAACGACACACTGCAAGCATAAGGAAATTAAGCTTTTATTTGACTTTAGTACAACTCCAGGAGATGTGATTACCCTGTCAGGGATGGTATTTAAACCCACAACCCTCTGATCGCAGGCACAGGCCTAACCCAATGACCCAGATTTAGGCACATAACTAATATGTGCCTATGGTGAGTTGTTTGCATATATTCATCACTGATAAACAAAAGCTCTGACACCCACTGCCACCTTTGTGCCAGCTCCCACCAACCATCTGAAACCAGAAGATGAGTCCTGGGATCGGGGCTTCTTCATCCGCATGAAGTCCACCCTGACGAAGCGGGGATTGCATGTCAAATCTTCTGGGTACAAGGTCAGGCATGCCGTGGGGGGGGCGCTGGCGAAGACAGCCGTAGCTAACACACACATGCCGTACAATACGACAAAACTTTATTTATCCCATGGGAAATTGTGGTGCTAGAGCACAACTCTTAGCATAACCCTGCTACAATTAATAAATACTGTTAAAACAGAGTCCAGAAACTATCTGGGTGCAGTTAGAGTCTAGTTGGACACACAAACATGTATCATGTGCACAGATGTCCATACGGTCACATGTTAACATGCAGAACAAAACAGAAAAAAGTCTTTAATATTTTAAAGTCTTTAGTCTTCTAGGTCATCTACCTATCGATGATTTCTCCACTGCTTGTATTAAACCATTACCTTTCAATTGAATATAAATTCAGCTTATTTTCACTGAATACCTTTTCCATTGTCTGTCCCAGTGTTTCCCAGTCTGGTCCTTGGGGACCCACAGATAATCCACATTTTTGTTCCCTCCCAGCTCCCTACTGAGCAATAATGTGGACTGACTGGCAGGGAGCTCAGAGGGAGCAAAAACACGGACTGACTGTGTCCCCCCCGAGGACCGGATTGGGAAACACTGGTCTATTCAGCTGTCCTCTGTTTTTGATTTGTTTCCAGGTAATCCATATCACCGGGCGGATCCGCTTCCGCCTCACCCTGGCACCAGGCCACACCCGCTCATTGCAGCGCCCGCTGGGATTGGTGGCTTTGGCACACACCCTCCCCCCCTCCACCCTCAACGAGGTCCGCATGGAAAGCCAGATGTTTGTCTTTCGAATGAACATGGACCTGCAGGTCACCTACTGTGAAAACAGGTATGATATGGATACCATGTTTATATATATATATATATATATATATATATATATATATATATATATATGAAAAAACATAACTCATCTTAAATCCTGTTCCTGTGGGCTTCAGCTTATTCAGGCTTCTGTTCTAATGAACAGCCTATTATATACTCATCAATTTCACAAAGAAAATAATTGGAAGATCTACTCCTGTGAACATAAAAGTGTTTTGTGCAAGTGATCTGAAGTGATTGCCATTTGTATTTTTTTCACATTTTTATCCAAAATGATTATATGCTTCGTGAAACGTGTTTGATTCCATGACTCCTTCACTACGAGGGCTAGAGTAAAATTGAGGCTCTTCAGCACCCGATCTGAGAGATGCAGCGTTACTTTATCAATCAGTATTGCCCTTCTGCTACGTTTATGGACATGCTCTGTTTAACAGAACACATGAACAGTATACTGTGTACTATACTCTGTAATACACCAGTGGTTCTCGACTGGTTTAGTCTCGGGACCCACGTTCCTTGGTCAATAAGTCACACTCAAGTTTTTAATTTGAACCAAATTGATTTCGCAATCAAAGCTGATTTCTCATGCAACAGTAACGGCAAACACGACATAGTGCAGTGACAGCGGCACCGTGCATTGTTAAAAAATAAGTCCGACATTAGAAAAAAATTCCAAATGATTTTTTTAACCACACACTCTGCGACCTAATAACAGGGCATCCCCAGCAGTTGAGAAACCGTGCTGCACAGTATGCAGTTCATCTTTCCATCCGTCCGTCCATCCATCTGCCCATCCATCCATACATCCATCCATCAACCCATCTTCCAGCTGCTTACGCAGTACAGGATTTGTGGGCTGAAGCCTATTCCAGGCAGAATATGCTACAAGACAGCAGGGGGGAGGGGGGGTGGTCTAGGCCAACTATACTGTGGCCCTGTACTGTTTTTCATTGTTATGCATTGCTGCTACTCTCTCGTACTTTTAGTGGTAAATTTGTGGCGCCTGCTTTTCTACCTGCAGACATCCTCCACATATATGTGCATACGATCAGTACGGTTTGTCACGCGTGACATGTTGCGTGTGCTACCTGCAGGATCTCTGAGTACATGGACCTGAGCCCAGCTGAGGTGGTGGGACACACGTGTTACCAGTTCATCTACGCGGAGGATCTGGAGAGCCTGCGGCAGAGCCATGAAGACCGTGAGCGCAAAGCGTCCTTCTGCGTGCGTGTATGCGTGTGTGCGCGCGCGTGTGAATGAGTTCACCAGTTTGTGGGAAAATGCAGAAAAAAACTGAATTGTTTTACTTAATTTACATTCATTTTAAAGTTGAAAGACCCTCTCATCAACTGGCATATTTTTGAATTTTTTGTGTTGGAAATTAAACATCATGTTCCATTGCAGCGACTCTCAAGAAGAAGCTTGTAAGACACGTGTCCATGTTTGAGTGTTTGTATTCCGAATTCCTCTAAAAGACTATTGTGTTTTTTGTTATCAGTATTGAGGATTTTAGAATTAATTCAAATATATACAAATTTCCCTTTTTCATATCATTGTGAACAGACATTGTCACTTGACAAATGTGGCAAAACTGAATTCCATAATGCATATATAGACAAAAGCGTCTTTCATCTGATATATCTTGAATTTGTAATGTGTTATTAAGATTCTGTCTTTGACGCGAATAGTTCTATCTCTGTTGCACAGTGACAATGAATTTTAATGGAAACATTAATTTAATTGTTAAATATTTAAAAATGTGTAAATATTCACCTCAGGAAAGAAAAATACTATCCATCCTTGAGCATTAACAATATATTTCAATGTACTTTATATTTTAAGTAAACAGTTTTTCAAAACGTCTTACACTTTAAAATATGAATGGTTTGTGTAAGAGTGTAAGCACCTAGAGCTGCATTTTGGTAGGGGTGTGTGTGCGTGTGTGTGTGTGTGTGTGTGTGTGTGTGTGTGTATACATACACATACACACACACGCACACACCAAGATATATATGCTCATTTACAATTCGGAGTATTTGCTCTGTGGTACATTCTTGCCAGAACCCCCTTTTAATATGACATTGACTGACAGGGAGAATGTAATTCACACTATTACAGATATAATAGCATAACAGTCATTTGATTTGAATAATGTACTAGTTGTTTATAAGCATCAAATGACAGATATATGTAAGTTAATATTTTACTTGTAGTAGATGTATAACTTTGATGGACATGAGTCTTCTGGTTACATTTCGGTGATGTTGTGGTTGTTATGGCCTGTGGTTCAGGCACTTAAAATAACCCTAACTTTCTGTTCCCTGTTCCCAAAATTCAGGTTACCTTAATCTAAAACTTTACTTGTTTAAGTATTTGCTTGTTCTTTAAAAATATGGGCGCATTGTTTATAGTGATGGACGGTATCTTCTGTGCCCCCGCAGTGCTGCGGAAGGGCCAGGTAGTGACCAACTACTACCGCTGGTTGCAGCGGCGGGGGGGCTTCCTGTGGGTGCAGTCCTGCGCCACTGTCTCTGTCAACCACAAGGCGCCGCATGAGCGCAACGTCATCTGGGTCAACTATGTGCTCAGGTGGGTGCCTGTTTAGTCCCGAGCCGCTGTTTTTAATCATGGAAGCCAATTAAGCCAAGCAGAATTTCGTGCCCCGACCCAGTGAAAATCCACAAAAATCACAGACTTTCTGTACATACATCAGGTTCAGACGTCTGATCGATCTGATCACGGGTTCATTACAGACCGGCTATGGGGCTAGAGAACTGGGAATGGAGCCTTTTACTTTTAGCTGGTGGCTTGTTTATAGGACCAAAAACATTAAATATGTGTCCATTATGATGCCGCCCAAACTTGTTTAAGCAGGATTACAAGACTGGGTGAACTACATGCACTCTTCCCCCTACACCCACACACACACACGGAAGGAGACACACCCTGTCATTGACACGCTCCCATATAAACGAGTGCACACACACACACACACACACACACACACACACACACTCAGCCAGTGAAAAGAGGCAGATGAAAACAAGGGAAGCATTTGGCATTACAATGCTAATTGGACCTGCAATGTATAATTACACCAAATGGATGTGGAAATTTTCTGGCTGAATAGTGTTTTAGTTAATTAACGCTGTAATTACGAGAGCTAATTAACTTCTCCGGCCCCTCCTAGAGCTCAGCTCTATGGCACTAACAGGGGGTTGTTGCGGGGGGCAGGAGCACAGGCAGGGTGAATCCGCACCGTGTCGCCCCGTTTATTGTGAGTTGAGTAAAAAAACACTCATATTACTTGTCAGCCGGTGTGTGTTGTTTTCTTCAAAAACAGGAATTTCATCTTGCCTGTAGACAAACTTTCAAACAGCTTTTTAATCACAGGTGTTTGTGTTTAGAGATGAAAGGATTTCTTTGCAAAAAAAAAAAAAAGAAAAAAATACAAAATTGTGACTGTGTAACTAAACGTGAACTTATAACAAGACATTTTTACTGTGGTGTGGCACCAGTGGATGAGTATACTGACAGCAGGAATGCATCACGTTCCTGGAGCGACATATTCCACATAGTCAGATGCTGAATGCTAGCCGTAGCCTATGGTGAACCCAGTCTGAGAGTCTTTTAGCCTGCTGCCCTGATCTTTCTAATTATGCATTGCTTAATTAGCTGTACTTAGACAAGACCAGTTTTAGTGTTTTATATAAGAACATAATTAGGGTCAGTTTGTCCTGTATTTGGCCGAATGTGTGGAGTTTTGCACATGATTTTGTGTGTACACCACGGTACACAAATACAACATCATGCAAATTCAGTAGAAGTTTAGCTACAATGTAGTGTCTGTGAGTGTTTAAGTTGTGTTATACTGGCATTTAATGACATAGGAGTGTTGTATTCATTACGTCGTCTCTCTCTCTCTATCTCACTCTCTCATATATATAAATATTAGTAGATAAATAAAAGATAATTGACAGGACAGTTCAACTTTGACTGATAGCCTGTCTTGGGTGTTTGCATGTTGAGACAATGGCAATATGCTCCCAAACTCTAGGTGCTTCCTAGTTTTGTCTCCACCCATCAAGGGGAAAACCAGGTGTCCCCTCTGCCACATGACCAATGTCGCCCATGTCTCTCGTCTCCTCTCAGCCGCACGGAGTTTCCGGACACCCCTCTGGACTTGCTTCAGCTGCCGGAGAGCCTTCGAGACGGCCACATGCGAGTGAGCTCCGCCCACAAGGATGCCTCGTCACAGGCTCAGGGTACGAGAGGCGTGTGCGTCTCCCTGTTTGAGTCGCGAAATCCCTGTTAGGTTTCCTTCCACACTCTGCTCATCTCCACTCCATCCCACTCAAATACAAGAGGATGACGTCGTTGTTTTCTAGAGTAGATCTTCCTGATCTTCTCTGTGATCACGTAGTATATAATTCCATTTGATTTCCCTGTATACCTATGAAAATGTGCCAGAAGTTGATATCGTATTAGTTCATTGATCATTCCGACAAGTAATACTTCTTATGGCACTTCATGACAGAGCTGTCACTAACAGAATTACGTCTAAATTAAGTGGATTCGGATACTAAAATATTTTATGACTTTTTGACTAGAGAAATGGTGTGTCCAGTTTGTGTGAAGGAAGTTAGGGTTAGGGTTAGGGTTAGGGTTAATGCTGAGTGTGGAACTCTCTCTCAGTCCTGAGTCAGACAGAACGATTTGTGTGAGCGGAAGCTGAAGAGTGGATTTAGGTGGCATGTTTCAATCAGGATGAGATTTTGGCTCAGTTGAGTTTCGGTTGAGGTTTTCATGTTGGTGATGCCCTTTAGTAAAGTAACATTAATGTCAGCTTATCAAGAGAATAAGAAGTTGCTTTATGTTGCTCACTTATGTCACCAAGTGGTGCAAAATATGAACTGCAGGATCATGATCTCATTGAGTAACTTAATTGAGTTCAAGGTTTTAACAAGCTTAAAGTATATAGACTGCCAGTTGAGGGCAAAATACTCAAATTTTTCCTTGAATGGTATTTCATCCTTTTTAGGCACAGCTGCCACACAACATATAAAATGCTCTAGTGGCAAAAATGGCTCAGGGTCAAAGGTGAGGGAGGCGTATTCCCTGCCTCCAAATGGCCAATCAGAGGAGAAGAGGAAGAGAGCACAGCAGTCCAACCCCAAAAGCAGTCCCCTGGAAAAGAGGCAGAGAAAGGAGTTTCTTGAAAAGAGGGAGGGGAGCCCGTCTGCATCTTCTGATCAAGGGAGCGACAGTGAGGGGGAAGGAGGAGCGGAGAGACGGTGCCACGCTGATGGTGGGAGGGTGAAGTGTGAGGAAGGCGCGTCGAAACACGGGAAGGAGGCCGCGCGCAGTGGAGCCGACATGCCGCACAACGGCCGCGCCGTCATCCAGCAGCTGAAGAGCGGGGTCACCTCAGCCGCCCCCTGCATCAAAACCGAACAGAACCTCCAGGCCACAGGGGGGCGCTGGGGGCATGTGAAACCCCCTTTGCACACCCCTGCGGGAGCCCAAAATGGCGACGGCCCTGCACTGTCCATGCCAGACTCTGCCATGACCCCGCCCAGTGGGGAAACCCCACACAGGGGGCTCCTCGCACCCCCCTCCCCCACACTGTCCCCGCCTGTGGCAGGCTCCCCACTGCCCAGGGAGGAGCGAGGCTTAGCTGGAGGGCGAGGCCCAGACTTTGAACTACTACAGAGGCTGGCTGTGGGAAGCGCTGCCGGCCGGGTCCTTTTCCACCCCCTGGCACTCGGCCCCCAAGGGACCCAGAGCCTATACGCCCCCAGCACCATTCGATACGCCCCAGCCGAGCTGGGTCCCGGCCACCCTGCCCCAGAGGCTCTCCCGTCAGACCACTCCAAGCCTCCTGCCTTCTTCCCCCATCTCCAGAGGATCGCTGCCCTTCCCCCTTTCAGCGGGTTTTCCTCATCCGAGCCCAGCTTCCCACCCGGGCTGCCGTTCTGCATCAACGGGCTGCGAGGGACGGCAGCCTCAGAAGAGGACTGAGAGAGCCTCAGCAGGGCACAGAGAGAGGGAAAGCTGGAATGGGATGTTTGATCTAACCCAGAGTCTCTGTAAGAGCCTCATCGAGCTTGCAAAGGATTATGGGAGAGGTGGCCTCCATCTCTGTAGCACCTGCACCCCCCTCCTCTGGCATCTCCCAGCCCTGCTCTTGCATCAACATCTTCCCTGACATTGGAAAAGCCATACACACCCTGTACTGTGTACTCTCTGTACTGTCACTGCCATATACACCCTCGTGTGCAGGGTAAGCCTGGGTGGGTGGGCCTGTTCCTGTGACAGAGCCATGTATAAGCCAATAGTAGCATTCAGACACATTAGCAATGGGCACAAGGCTAAGTGCTGAATATAAACAGAGGGGACTGTCTTGCTGAAACCTTCTTTAAGTTATACTGCGCACAGTTCGGGTTTGACTCCATGTTGAATACGGTTTCTCTGTCTGCTTTGGCTTTGGCCATTTGTACTCTGTATCTCCCCGTCTTTCAGTAACACCATCTCTGCATCTGGCTTTCGAGATGCCCCCTCGCCCTCACTCTACGGATGGCCCGATTCCTGCAGACATTTTTTCGGCCAGTGTGCGTAGAAGCCATTTCACTCGAGTCACCCGCTGTCCCTCCCGCTCGGAGATTCTGCGAGAGCTTAAAGCAAACCGCTGTACCGGAGCTACGATCACGAGCCAGGTTTCAGCCATATTCCTCCAACTATCTTTGTGTCCCTGGAGAAAGGGTATTGAATTTTGGGTAGGTCCTGAAGATGGGGGAGAACTGTCTATTTGGAAAGGCTGATTCATAGCAAACTTTTGGTCACTTTACAGTATAACCCTCCTGGATGGTTTGGAGGAGATTTTCATCTACATTATCTGTCTGAGCACTTACTGCATTATCTGGTAGGGTTCCTTGTACAGAACTATGTAAACATGTAGCACTTGTAAATCCATGCCCACAGATTCACGAGTACTTTTGTGCGTGTAAGCAACACCAGCGGGTGTTTTGGAGTGCTTAAAAGTCACTTCAGGATAAGAAGGTAATTTGTAACCAAGTTTCTTGAGTCCACTGATATGTTTAGTGTAAGTATAGAACAATATCGCATCTAGTCATTACAGCTTGAGCTGAAAAGCTTGTAACCTGGGAAAAGAACGTGAATCCAAATAAAATTTTGTAGGTGGGCATATGAGAACTAATGTTTGAACACGATGAGATGTAATTTATATTTTTTGTTTTTGGTGAAGGTCTAAAAATGATTGGGAATTACTGGTAACGTTTTTCTAGATCGTTATATGCTATTGAAGGACCACTGAAGGTAGGGATGAATTCACTGTGTATTGTAACCCAAGAAGCCCGAATTAAATGTTTTTTTTCTCATGTTAGTTTAGTCGATGAAACAATAACGTCTTAGCCTTCGCCATCACTGTGACAACTTTTTTTTAATCGTTTGTGAATATATCCCAACTCCCAACCCTGAATTAAATTGAAATGCTGTAAAAAAAAAAGAAACTACAATAAAATAAAGTTTTATTCCATTAAAATTCCAAGGTCTCATTTAAAAATTGCTTGTAATATGGTTTTTAGGTGTTTTTAAATTTGCCGTGAAGTATTTTTCTTTAAAAACGAACCAATAAGAATTTTATGATAGCATGCTTGATATTTGTAGCTGTGTGATCCACTTATGATGTAATGTACTTTATAAAAATGTCTGGTCAATGCTACAATCTAAGCTGCGCTTCTGTGGGTGACAGCATGGTGCATGCTGGGATTTTTTTTCAGTGTCATTGTGATTCACCCTGGAATGACAGAGGGGCCAGGGGGGAACTCGAAAATCATTTCAAAAGTATTCTTTTTCTGTGTATAAAAAAAAAACACGGGCCGTCTGATGCATGTAGGTGTCAGCTGCTTCTGCACAGAAACAAGACTGGTATCAAATTGCGACGGAGCTAGCAGCTTGCTGCGGTGCTGCAGCCACACGGGAGGGACGACAGGAGCCCGTGACATTGAAGGCAGGTTAAATCCTGCTTTACATTCAAGTGGCAGGGCCGAGTTCATTAGTGTGAGAATCAGTCTCCCCGTCAACCAAGGAACCGCATACTAAACACGAGCAACGCAATTGAGGTTGGGGCTGGGCGGGGCTCGTTTAGTGCGTGCAGGGATGGGGGGGGCTGTGTGTTGTTTGCACAGACAGGATTGAGTATTTGGAGTGACCCTCTGGCTTGAATGATAATTTCTCCTTTTGTAAAGATGTCCTTACAGAGGACGGGCTCAAAGCACTGAGTCGTGCTGGACGTCTTGCTTGCAGTGCACTGTCTAGCTAGTTATCTGGGTTGAAGCTGCTGCTCCGGTACCTCAACTAGTAAAGCATTACAGTAATGATGCAATGGTTGTGGGTTCGAATCCCAAGGAGCATGCATACGTTGTAACCCTACTCTCTACTGTGTCATTTTGGATAAAAGTGTCAGATAAATAAATAAAATGCAGGAACAGTAAAAAGGCTCTTCAGCTAGCATGGCATGATGTCCAGGGCTTAAATCTGCCCTGCCTATCGCTGAGGTTCCACGGCGTTGTGCATTCGGGGCGCTGCCTGGATTGCCTGTCAGCGAGAATGCCAATTGGCTCATCTGCCCTTTAAACAGGCGTGGCCCTGCAGGCCACCTGCATGCAAAACAGAGCTGCGCAGTCAAACTCAGCCACGGGGAACCGGCAGACCCCCTGCACTGGAACACGCCTGGAATAAAGAACCGAACTGCGCCAAATGCGCGGGGGCGGGGCCTGAAGAGAGCAGCCGTAAACAAAAGCTATGTGAGCACCCCCAGTCGAGGCTCTGTGATGAGCCGCCAAAGCCTTTTGGGACGTGCGTCCTGCGTCTCCTGTTGCCATGGCAGCGGCAGCAGAAAACAGGTGATGGCATCGTCGTCGTAAAAACTTTCGAGGTAACAGACTGGGGAAAGCAGATGACTGTATATAAATGTAGGTTTGCAGGAGCACAGGGACCCTTTAAAACAGAAACGGTTGATCTACCATCTGAAAGTGTTTTTTTGTGGAGAAGGTGGATATCATACCAGCATTTCTCTGTACGTGGGAATTTTCACCTTTAGCGCTGTAGCATGTTTAGGGTGGATACAAGTTTCAAGGCTTGATTGTCATGTGTCCATAGTATAATGAGATTCTTATTTGGGCACTTCCTGTAAACTGCAGACTATACAGAGAAGCAAACAGGTGTCACAGGATCAGTGCTGGGAATCGGCGGTCGGCTTATTGTGGAATTCTGACAGACACTCTGATCAAAATGCAATTTTTACCACAGACATGGTATTTAAAAAACACTTAGTCTGCATAGTTTTCTACCACAGACAAAGATAAGTCTTGCCACGGACACATCTGTCCATATATGGACAGGTTGAGCATCCCTGCTTGAAATGACCACAGACTGAGAATCATGGCCCTTTCTATTGTTACAAACCATCAATTTTGTTCAAAAATAAGGTCCATTGGTTCATCGAATTCAACAATTTCCCCCTGGGATCAATAAAGTTAACTAATCTGCTAGCTTGATAAATTAAATTCCTACCCCCAGCTCTGTGTCTGTGTGTGTGTGTGTGTGTGTGTTCTCCCTGCGTAAAGGCAATTTTCTCAGTACGTTGGTTTTCTTTCACAGTCCAAAGTACATGCAGTTAGGGGACCAGGTGTATCTAAAATTGCCGGCAGATTGCGATTGCGTGTAGAGAGGACCAGCATCCTGTCCAGGGTGCCCCCGGCTTTCTGGTATCACCATGACCCTACGCTAGATAAAGATGTAAGGCAGCTTTGCGCTGGCAGCTGCTCAGGTGAATGTCAGGGCAAGGCGACCCAACTTCATCCCATTTCGTCTTCCGCCTCGTTTGCACCTACACCTGTTTGGTCTTCCAGTCCCTTGGCCCTGAAGATGCCAAACCAGTACAAGCTGGGCACAATCTGCCCACAAACCACCTCTGAACGCTTACGTTTGTCTCAAGTCGGCCATTTAATATTCCCAGTTTATTTACACGATTACATCTCATGCGTTTAGCAGAGAGCACTGAATGTCACCCACGACCACACAGCCCATGAGAAAGCCAAAAATGTCCATGCAGCGATGATTCTCACACCGCTGTAGTTCAGGGATCAGTTACCTGTGTTTATGTAAAGTGCCAGTCCAAAGTTTGGACACGCCAAGCCACCTAGAAAGGAGAGTGATTGTGTCGCATCACATGACCTGGCCACCTGGCCTAAACACAGCAGAAATGGCTTTGGAGGAGTTTAACTAGAGTGTGAAGGAAAAGCAGCCAATGAAGGCTCAGCATTTGTAGGGCCTCCTTCAGGACAGCTGGAAAAGCATCCCATTGGGTCAGCCAGTCCCTGGAGCAATTGGGGTTAAGGGCCTTATTCAGGGGCCCAATGGTGGGATCATGCTGCCGACCACGAGATTTGAACTGACAATCTTCTGAGTTCCAACCCACAGAGCTGTTCTCTCCCCCAAATAAATTATGGTTTTTGTTATTTTTGTTAATTTATGGTTAGTGCGTAATTCCATGTATGTTATTTTATAATGAGTTTATAATTATTCTAAAATGTAGAAAGTAGTACAAATAAACCTTTCTATGGGTAGGCGTGTCCAAACTTTTGAGTGGTACTGTCGGTTTTTTCCATCTACAACCGTTTCCAAAAACGTAGTTCAGATGAACGGTCATCTCATGTCCTTAAAATCACAATCAAATTTTCCTATCCTGCATTTTGATTGCCTAAAAGATTTGCATAACAGAATCATAAAACAGGCCTTTTCCCTAACTGATTGTAGACTTAAACACATATAAGCAGCCAAATAGCCGACAATCTTTCATGTGCCATGCGTGCGCTAGCTCATAATTGCCAGCAAACATGCATATCCTTGTCGAAATGTCTCTTAAAATCAATAATAAATAAAAAAAACTTCACAGTTTGACAGTTGAGGCAGACAACTGCCTACCTGCAAAGAAAAAGTATCAACCCTTAAAAAGTACAACCTCAAATTGCTAAACAGGCAGAGCAGTTTGCAGGGTAAAAGGGAGGGAGAGAGAGAGAGAGAGAATGAGTCATCCAGCTTTGAAGAAGTCTGTGCGGCAAAATTTGTTTTCAGCCAGCGAGGAGAGAATGCAATGCAGCAGCAGAAGCGTAGCTATGCGGCGAGGAAGTCTGGGGCGGAGACGAGGAAGACATTACAAAGCAGACGGTTTCTGGAAAACTGCGACTGCCAATATTCTCACGGTTTATTTGTCTCAGCAGAAGTGTCTAAACATTTCTGGTAGTGAGCACTGTGCCAGCATTCACCAAAATGTGCTATAAATGGTTTAGTAAAAATAAAACATTCTGGAATCGTCTGACAAGCTCACCTGTCTAGTGGTTCACACATAATCTGATTTTGAGACCCCTACTCTAAATCAAGGACTCTAATGTATGATCGTCTATCCCAGTGATTTCCAACCCGGTCTACAGGGACCCCCAGACAGTGCACATTTTTGCTCCCTCCCAAGCTCCTGATAGGAAGCTTGTAGGGAGCAAAAACGTGGACTGTCAGGGGATCCCTGGGGACCAGGTTGGGAAACACTACCGAGTGGTGAACACAGAGCTGATCCCCTGTGCTTCTGAATCTCGTTCCAGAGGAATGTGGCTCCGCCTCTCAGCTTTGAAGAAGTTGAAGAACCAGTGTTTCTCAAACCAGTCCCCTGGGACCCCCAGAGGTATTTGTTCTCTCCCAGTTCCCTGAAAGTTGGGAGGGAGCAAAAACGCGGACTCTCTTGGGGTCCCCGAGGACCGGTATGAGAAACACTGTCTTCGACACCTGACTCCACACCTCCCTGCACTGATAACGATCCACCTGCCCCGGCTTTGTCGTTCAACTTCAAGAAACATTCATGCTTTATCGTTCCCAGCCGTGAGCAGGCATTTCCTCAGGACTCCAGTCAGTAGGGAGCTGGGAGGGAGCAAAAATGTGCACTGTCTGGGGGTCCCTGAGGAGCGGGTTGAGAAACACTGTCCTATCCCATTCAGTCTTGTGCTTCCTGGGATAAGTTCCAGGCTCAATCAGCGGTTTTGGAAAGCCGAAGGATGCTTCCGTTCTATTTTCACATGCCACTTAATTTTAAACAATCAGTTTGCTAAAGGTTGAGCTGCCACTGACATTTAGATATTTTGCCTCTTAGGTTAAGGCAACCCTGCAAAACACCACTTTCAACAACAATGATGCATCTTCCTCATAAATGAGCCATTTACATCCACGTCCAGGGTGTACGACAGCCTTGTGGCCTAAGGAGATGATTTTATCAGCCCCGAGTTCTATTCGTCGGCAATGCATATTACAATTACTCTAACCAATAATTACAATTATTCTAACATATATACCCATCCGGAGTTATTCCATGCTTGCGGAATAGGCTCTGTACAGCCGCAAGTAGGTATGGAAAATGGATGGATGGATGGATAGTTGGATACTGCTGGAAATACCGATTATTAAAGTCAAACTACTAATTATTTTGACTTTGATATACATCTGAGCTGCCTCTTCGCTCGCTTTCCCATGGCAATGGCTGGTTATCCAGCCCTAAGCAGCAAATAGGATTCACTCCTCACCCATAAAAAGGAAAGAAAAACTATGACAAGAGACTCCACGTTCATGCGATATATTTACAGTGAAAGGTCAAGGACACACACACACACACACACATGCAATAACTTAGAGCCTCGCACCACTCAGCTCCAGAATATACATATATTTTATCAACTCGCAGCCAATCTCCCACTGTATAAGAACAAACCAGCATGAGTAAGAAACGTCAGGTAAATCCATTTACCTTAGATTGTATGAGGTCTCATAGAGGCAAATTAAAATTAAATTCATATTAATAATCCTAAAGGGTCATCTTGGTAACTGATGGAAAAGAAAAAAGTAATATTCATAAGGTGCATACACCAGATTGCGATAAAATGACTTACAAACCAGTCTTGACTGACATATAAAAAAAATAGCATTTGGGTGTGAATATATCAAGAATTTATGCACAAAAAATACAAACTACTACATATTAACGAATCACAATAAAGAAACATCATAACCTGAAGTGACAACATCATTAACGGTTAAATATTAACACAGAATTGAGTAGTTACCAATCACTACATCCTTGATTCTGTTCTAAACATGTATATGTTTATTGACTTGGGCACCAGGTATTAAATTTCAGCTTTTCCTCATGGGCTGAGAAAATAATAGATGCAATCGGATGCATGTGACAGGCAACAATAAGAGACATCATTTATCTTAGTTTTTTGTGTTTGTACAGTCATTTTTCAGCTTTCTTTATGCTTCTACAAGAAGACAGATGGATTTAAAAGGTGCCATCCATAATTGTTACCATGACGATAAATCCCTGGTGCGATAGGACATCCGACTCCGACACGGTGAGAAATGCCCATGCGAACGGACACAGGGGATATAAGGTTCACCTCCGCCGACACTGCGCATCACGGCAGCTCAAACCAGTCATGGGCACACACTGGACAGATGTACATTTTTGTTTTATTCCAGTTCCCAGAACACCTGACCCAGAAGTTCTTAAATACTTTACAGATGTACTGTGAACACAAAAACGTGGATCCATCCAGTGCGCCCTGCGGACAGGTTTGGCAAACACTGGCCTGACCTCACTCATGGAGAAAACCTCATTCATTCATGCATAAACACAGACACAGACACCTAAAAGGCAAAATTAAGATAAAATCAACTTCAGAATAGAAATAAAACTAACGTGCATGTGTAACGTCACCTGGGGGCATGACTGTGGCTCCTCCCACAACGCCACATGAAAACGTAACCGCCCAGGGGACGTGACAGTGGAAGAGTACAGCCAGAGCATGCACACAGGTTACACTGATTTCATGATGACCCCCCCCCAAAAAAAACAGACTTACTGCAGACATACCAGAACTGGAAAGAAGAGAATTCAATCACAAGCTTGTACATTAAATGAAAAGAAACTTTTAGCCTATTTAAATCTTGGATAGGACCTGAGGAAAAATAATCAGTTATATTCAAATAAAAAAACAACAGCAAAAGCCTTTGACTAACCTTATTTTATGTAAATGGTCTTTTCATAGTTTCCAGAATATGTCATACCTAGTGGAAACCCAAGACAGCATACAACCACTCTGTTGTCCATGGTCTACACAAACACACACACCCCTTATGTAACGCAAAACACACCCAAAAATTAGTTCTCACCAGAATCTCACATTTAAGATCTGCTGGTTGTAATGTTTTCCACGGCAGTGACCCTAATTCAACCCCCCTCCCCCCGCAGTTGCCTAAACGCGAAGCAGCACCGTCGTTCACTTGTCCCGTCCCTTATCCTCCGGGTGGCGCTCGTCCCGCCGGTCCCCGCACTCGTCGCAGTCCCTGGGGGGCCTCGCCTCCTCGTCCTCCTCGTGGATGATCTCCACCTCCAGCCGGCCGATGTAGAGGGAGACGGCGGAGAGCCAGAGCAGCCCCATGCTTCCCACCACCATGCTGTTGATCAGCACGGCCGGCATGGAGAGCAACATGATGCGCCGCAGGCTGAAGAGGTTCGCCACGTAGGAAGCAGCGCCGAACGACACGCACACTCCGCCCAGGATGAAAAAGGCTGCGCACAAGAACACGCACACTCATAGGCGGCCATGCACAGACGGCAGACGCCCTCCCACTCTGTGCCTGCATGTCCTACTCACTAACAGTCACACAGTCACTACACAGTTAAGGTGCCTGATGTCTTTAAATTGCCTGCAATGTGTGCCTGTGTGTGTTTATGCGTCCTGTATTACAGTAGCACCCTGCCTTGTGTCCTAAAGAGTAGGCAAAAGTACAGGGGTTACTGGTCTCTTACCGTATCCAGCCTCTCGGCCTACGTCACTCTGTACAAAAGCGATTACACCAACCCCTGTGGCCAGTAGACCATTACGAAACCAGGAGAGGAATCCTAAAATATAAAAGAGCAGAGATGAGTAAGCAGAGGAGCATGGTGATAGCAAGTACTAAAACTTACTGTGAATAGGTGCACAGAAGCCTCTTTGTACAGTACTGTAATCCTGCTCTTAACAGATGTAAACCCATATCTATATTTTTTTTTTGCATAACAGATGGCAATGAGCTAATCGAGATTATTCCCGATGAGGAGGTCCTGTGCATACAGGACAGATCTAGACAAAGTAGCAATAAAAAAAAAACGGGTTTTACTGCAAGGTGATTGAAAATGGCATGTTTATAACGGGCTTCTTAACTAGCGCGGTACACATGCATCTTTATGGCGGTCATGAAGTTTCCAGACGGACAAACGTTTACCTGTTTCGTGGGACTTTCTCAGCATCTAGGAAAGAAATAACAATCAGACATTATGTTGATCAAGCAGATCCAACAAAACTGTCAACATAGCCAATACGTGTCAGGTCAAGGACGTGCAAATAACGTGACAGTCTATGTAAACATCATTCTAAATTCATCGCGATAAAACAAAGTCGATTAAAGTATGCCCTTATGGTTATTGTCTGGTGGACGTTTGCAATTTATTTCTTCGTGTTTTTTTTTCTTTTCTTTTTTATGTAATTAAGCCTTTTACAAGTACCTGAGAAACGGCGCAGTGCGGACACCTTTCAACCTGATGAATAGCTGATCTGGGATCAGTTTTAGTTCTTTATTTTCCATTAAAGTCATTCATTTCCAATAACTCACCAAAGCATCTGCCTTGTCCAGCTCTGTGAAATGCGGCTGCTCCGCAGCGCGAGCTTTGCCCAGGGCACCCTTCTCCCCGACTCGGACCCGGGGCGATTCGCTCACCCAGCGCCGGGGAGCCCGGGGGCACGGCGGCTGACTGTGCGCGACCCGGCGGCCCACATGCAAAACAGCCCGGGACAGCCGCCCGCACGCAAACCAGCTAAAGGCCGCCATAATCTGCTCGGAAAGAAAACACGACCCCCGGTGACCCGTGACCTTTCACACTGCAAACGACACAGACAGGAGTGTGCAAAGAAAGCGCTCGCTACGGATTTTAACGGGCCGCGTCATCACAGCGCCATCTAACGTCTACTAGGAGTCCCGTTCTAGCTGCTTTCCCGCTATTTCACCACTTTCTTAATTATGAAAAACAAAGCAATATGTTAGTTCATTTTTCCACTTTTAATTCTTTGATAATATTTCAATTATATATTTGTTTTATACACTTTAATTCGGGATTGAAGATGACAACGGTCAATTATTTCAAGAAACCATAGATGGCAGCATACACTAACATTTCATGATGTGTTGAAATCCTTGTTTGCTGGTGTAATCTAAAGGTCACTTTAACGTTATTACTTTTTACTTGCAGTGCACGACCAGTGATTATTGCCCATTTATATACGTTATGGCATTTATAGTTAAGTAACTTGCACAGGCAATAACTTTGACAGGCAATGGTCCCTCAGCTCTCATAGGTAATCCATCCATTCATTTTCTGTAACCACTTGTCCTATGCAGGTTGTCCAGAGCCTATCCCGGAGGCTACATGTGCAAGGCAGGGAACAACCCAGGACAGGGCACCAACCCATTGCAGGGTGCACTCATACACACCTAAGGGCAATTTGGCAACTCCAATTAACCTCAGCATGTTTTTGGACTGCGGAGGGAATCCAGAGCACCCAGAAGAAACTCCAAACACATGGAGCCATGGTGGAGACTCGAACCCTGGTCCAAGAGGTGCGAGACAACAGTGCTAACCACTGCATCATTATGCCATCCTCTCATAAGTAGCAACAAAAACAATAATAATAATAATAGTAAATCAAACATGAAGCATTCTCTCTGCTGTTCTGTTCCCAGAAATGGTGGTTTTTAATTTGGATCAGCTGATCATTTCTTCCTCATATGAAAACTTTATTGTGATTTATTTCCTTGAACAGCTATTTGAAAAATATTTTGATGGAAGTGTGTGAAATACAGATTTTGCAAGTTTAGCGTGCTCCAGTTTATGCCTTTTTCTGGTCGTGTCTGTGCTTCTAAATGGCCACAGCCAGATGAATTGTGGGTGTCTCCCCTTCCTCTGTTTGCTTCAGCCCCTTTGTCTTGCCGGGTTCCCCAAGGATTTCGCTCGGGCCGCGGCTGCGCTACCTGATGATAGTTTGCCGTGCGAAGCCCAGGGAGGAAAAGCTCCCCTCGCTGAGCCAGGGGAGGGGCTCAGTGGAAGGGGGGCCTTTGATGTGAATAGTAGCCACCCCCACAGCAGACCTCCTGTCATGCAACAGTGTGACTTCATTGATTTCTTATTAGCGCTGGAAAAAAAAAGAAACCTCCTTGGTATTCTCAATTCCCTGTGGTGTAATTTGTCAGCCAAAATGCTTGGTGGCGCTCATGTATTTCTATATACCAGGTTAGGCCATATGCTGTTAAGGTGCATGTTCCTTTAAAGGTTATGCTTAATAGGAAGGAGTTGGATAAGATGGGAAAGTGAAAAGAAATCAAAGGAAAGGTTGGAGGAGAGGATGTTGTAACGGAATTTTTCCAGTGTTTATACCTTGCATTTTGTTCCATTATTTGTGCATGTTGTCATCATTTGCCTCTTCCATACCACTTGAATTGTCATTCTACCTGGACCTTCTCATTATGTGTCACCTCATCAATAAAAGACTTTAAAACATTTTTTCTAGTGTTGGCCTAATGTTTGGACAACAATGTGCAATGCTACATTTTTGTGGTTTGTTGTCTACTGTGTGTCTACGGTATTGTATATGTCTTGTATTTGTGTTTGTATATAATATATTCAACTTTCACCAGAACTACCTTGTGTTCCATTACTGTATAATCGTATTTGCCCACACCTGTTACAGAGCTGTTGTCTCAGATTGCTGTTTATACAAATGACATAAAGGGACTTACAGGAGCACTCAGCTAACTACTGTTTTGTTTCAGTTGAAAAGTAATCATACTGTCAATAATATGAGATTGTAGCAAAAATCTGACACTGACCAGTACATTTTCTCTTCAGTCATTGGCTCGAAGGCCTTTGTAAAGCGGTGGGCCTGATTTTGAGATGAACTTTGAACAGAGAACTCACTCTGTGTTTTCCAGAAAAAAGATCACCCTCTGATGTCACCAAGATACATATTATCCATTGTTTGTATGAAGAGTCTATGGAATGTAAAATCTAAGCTTAACCATTTGCTCACATTTCCCTAAAGTTAGTTGCCACCCTGCTCATTGTACATGTACACGGAAGTGGATAGTTCAAGTCCAGAAAGTATAGATGCAGTCCAAGAGTTTGTCTCACCCAACCAGTAGAGTACTCTGTGACTGTGACTCTTTACATTCAATTGGTCGGTTGGAACAAAATCTTGGTCTGGATTTTATCTTTCCGGACCTGAACTATCCACCTCTGTGCCATACATCTGGATGATGGTATAACTGATCATGGGAATTCTATTTAGGAGCAAAACAAAATTAAACAAAATTCAATAATTTTACTTGCCAATAAAATTGACATTAACGGTAACTATGAAATAGAAACAATGATCAAATTTCCATGAAGTTCCCCTTTAAGAGCTGTGGCTAATGTAGTTCATCAAAATAAACTAAATATATTATTTTTTACAGATTCTGGCTTGCTTCCAGGAAAAGAGGCATTGGAATGTCTTTCTTAAAGGTGTTTTTCCAAACAACCTGTTGTAGGCTTTGGCGGCTGTGAATATTAATATTCAGCAATTCTTACCAAGGGTTCTCCTTGTTGTCCACATAATAGTGTCTCCACGGCAACAGGTTCACCTTTCTTGATTCCATTTTTTTCTTGCGGTTTCTCTTGCCTTCCATGTTAAAGCCTGTTCATGCAAATATAATTTAAAAAACACTGCAAAGTAATGGTTAATGTTCCCAAATGTAATGGATATCTGGTTCTGTCCTCAATTTGTCCTTTTGACACAGACTGGTTTGGGGTTTTGGCAGAAGGAGATGTTCTTCTTTGGGCAACAGTTAAATTGTTTTGCAATGATCTAATACCACTGGCCTTTAAAAGCAGCTGAAAACAAAACAGTCAGGAACATTTTTCAAAGGCCATATTGTCTTCAGCCGGGATAGGAATCAGACAGTAGGCAATGAAGCAATCAAAAGAGAATTGTAATTTCCTTTTGTTCATAGGGAACTCGAAATGAGGAGAAGAATACACCTCGTCCAAAGTAAAAGGAAATGAATTAGCATTTGCAGCTGTAACAGTGGATATAGTCATAGTGGAAACATGAGTTGGAAATGACGAAAACAGAGGGAGATGATATTATACAACGGGCCAAACCCAAGGAATTATCTCATTTCGACATGGACGGTAACCCTGAATAGGTGGCCACCTTGTCTTCGGCAGTCATTCCTGTGAGGCTCACATGAATCTAAATAAGTTTATGGTAATCAGGCCTTCAGCCTATAGTCAGGAGGGCAGCAGAGCTCCAGTTCCAAATTAAAACAAATATCAGAGACTTCAGGGCTGACAGTGGGCAGCATTACAGGCGCGTTCTCTAACTCTCGTGGAAGCACATTCGTTTGCCTATAGGCCTGCAGGCATTACTGGAGGAAATGTGTGTGATGTCAACTCTGTGCATTTCCTCTGGTTAGCAAAAACCCACAAGAATGTTAAGAAAGCGAGTGGATTGCCAGTGAGCTGCCAGAGCATACGGAGACACTACCCTTTAACAGAAGCCCCCGCTGGAGGGACAGAACACACTAAAGCTGCCTTTATCTCCTTCAATCGGCTCAGTCCCCCCACATTTAATGTCATAGGAGAGTATATTCAAATGCACAGAAAGGGGAGAAAAAACATCACGGAGAAAACAGCAAACTGCAGTGAGATTGTACAAAAACAGTTTAATTAAATACTGCAAAATTCAGAAAAAAATTAAGCAAACTTTTCGACGACTTGAAATTTCTATTGCATCGAAATAATGTCCACAGCTTAAAGCATGTTTTAAATTTCTCTCGTTTTTATGTGTCCAACAATAAAGTGCATTTTTCCTTCTCTGACAGCCTGCTTAGCCATTGCAGGTGGCTCCTCCCCAAAATCGTTGCCCTCTGGTACATTGAGATAAGTTTCTTCTTGAAAGAGCAGCTCCTCTCAGCCCCGCCCAATCTTGCCGTGCCGCCGCCTCTGTCATGCCCTCCCCTGCATCGAGTGTCCAATTCCCAAGAGCTGATGGAGGGAAGCTTGGGGGATCCGGCCCGCCGTGGCGTAACGTCAGTGTGATTGGACTGGGTGGCCTTTAGCAGGTCAGGGAAGGTGGGGTGGATGTAAGCAAACCGGGTAAAAAATTTAACAGCGTGAGAGACGTGAACCTTAAAGTAAAGGCCATGATAACGAGATCTGGTCTGAAGTTGGAGCTCTGCATGGCCACTGATGTTCTTGCTTCAAGGAAAGCACATGCAGGAACCCAGCAGAACTCGTGGCCTCCTTCGCTCTGCTCAACGCTGTGCTGCGAAATCAGCATGAGTGTATCGGCCGAACAGCACCGGCAGCTCTGGATGTAGACATAGTGAATACTGGATACCTGCATGCTCACGTAGGTATTTCCAGAGTACTTACACACAGACATGTACACTTACTCAAGTACTTTGGGTGACCCATATTCTCAGCACTGGGACATCCCTCCAACAAATCCAGTTACCCCTCCTGTAAGCTCAAGTACTCAAGGAGTAAGGAGGCTGATTGAAATTTTCACTCTGAACTGGTTTATGCCACCTGTTACCTGAACTGACTGTGGCTTCCAGCAGCAGAAATCACTGCAGGATAACAATACAAGATCAAGTTAGGGTTTGAGGCATTGTTGTAAAACCACAGTTATAGGTACAAAAAACTAAACATCTTAAATTTAGAAACATTTTTAAACTACACAACAAAATCTGTTTATCAAGAAAGGAAATGCAAACAAAATAACTTCAATGGAAGAAAGGCAACATAGTGTTTGAACAGGCGGTAAAGGGAAGCTTCTGCCCTTTTTGTACAGAACACACAAGATAATTGGTTATCACACATCTCAACTGTGCCGTTTTCAGACTGTTCCAATGAATGCTTCATTGACCATATTTGTGTGAAAGTTTTATAATAGAAAACACATCTGAATGAACTCTGGCAGCTCCATGTCTCAAAAGCAGGATCATGAAAGTAGTTTGGACACTGCCGTGCAATAACTGTACGTCGAGACTGTTAGACTGTCTGAGAGTTTTTTTTTTTTTAACTTGCTTGTCTGTTAGATCTCTGAGCATCAGCATATATGTAGGACATTCTGTCCTGAGTTTGAGTAGCAGTAACTGTTCTTGCTGGATCTGACTCTCAGGAGCTGTGGCTCCATACAGTTGATGTGGTGAAGCAGAGGGACCAGTGGTCTCATCATGTCCATTTGAGGGCTGCAAGCTGCAAAGGAACTTCCCCAATGATGTCACTTCCTGAGCAGCTGATGTCAGACAGGAAGTCGACCCATAGCATCACGTGTAGGACACTTGTAACTCAGCAGTGTGCCCTGCTGAAGGTCAGACTAAGGCCCTACAGACCCCTTCCAAGGACAAACATCTAGAAAGTGTGAAAGAAACAACTAATTTAGCCCAGCAATTCTCAACCCTGCTCACGGGGACCCAGAAGATCTGCTGGTGAGTGCTTCCATAAATCTCTATTATATACATAAAACAGAAATACACCACATATTACACCTATTGTGTGCTTGTTTGTGAAAAAAACATTTTACTGGTTCATACTGTCTAGTCTGGCATGGTTAATTTCTGCCCCCTGACAACTTAATTAGGTGAATGATTAATTAATCCTACTATACTGTGCATCATCATAACTCAAATCACTGACCATTAAACGTTAACACTTGTGGGGCACAAATGAACAGTCACTGAAGCAAATAAACAAAATACCAAACATTCTTGAATAAAACTGGGTTTCTTTATCGGTACAAACACACCAACAATTAAGTTTACAGGGAACTCAGTTAACGTTACGAACCATGTAATGAACACCGGGATTCTGGTCGGCGTCTCCGGTAAGCGTGAGGATGCAGGAACCCAGCGAGTCCCCGTGCGCTGGATTCTCCAGCACCCTGGGATGGGAACCACTGATCTACAGTAGACCACCACGCCCACGGCAGGCAGCGAGCGGGGAACGTGTGGTTTCGGCGTGCTGTGGCGAGCACCATGCACAGCATGCCTGATAAAAGGAAAGGTCAGCAAAAAATAAAATAAAATAAAAAAAATAAAAATTGCTTCAGCATTGTGAAAAGATCCAAAGAACCTAACGTTTATCCTTGAAGGACAGGTTAGGGGGCTTCTTGCGCTGTACCGCACCACAGGGCAGAAGACGATGGCGCCTTTGATGGTGCAGGCAGCAGCCTCGAGGGACCAGGGCTGCCGATGAGGAAGGACAGCTTGTGCAGAAGCAAAAAAGGCATTGCAGTGTAGTCTGACTCCAATTTAAAGCAAGACTTAGAGGGTTATACCCAGAACACATTGGTCCTTTCTGCTGCTTTTGTGGGTCGGTTGCCGTGTTCCTTTGGCCTCAGCGAGGAGGTCTTCTGCCCGTGTTACTGCAGTAGTTCTGCAGATTGTTCTGCCTCCGGTTCCCTGCCCCCAACCACACACGCAGACATCGCCCACTGAGCCGGCCAGCCAATAAGATCTCTTCTGGAGAAGCCAAGTGGAAAAGGGTGAGGCATTGAATGCCATGAGTGTGTGGGCATGGGTGTAGGGTCTGACTGTCCCTCCCCCCTCCCCCACAAATTAGTCCAATAACAGGGCAGGTAGGTGCGCCTTTGTCTGAAGTGCACTGTTGAGCTTTTTTTTCTTCCCCTGCGCCGGCTGTTCCAGGGTTAGGTCTTGCTGTTCTGTGTGACAGGCACTTGAACACCTTTCTGCCCAGTTGCTGTGAGAACATAGAGAGCCAGATTGAAGTACAATGGAAGCTGTCATGGGGGGGACAGTAAGCAGGAGATCACACACTCTACATGCACAAAGTTGACCTATTCAAGGGCTGGTCCGTATATGGAGCCCTGGGGTAGCGTCACCTCCTGCATGCCAGCATTAGAAGACAGAGTCTCGGGTTCTAGTGACTCACCCAGTCGGTACTTCTCCTTGGCCTCTGCCCGCTCCTTCGCATCAAAGTACCAGACTGTGATGGCATAGCTACAGGCACAAGAGGGAATGCAGCTTAAAAAAGGACCTTCTTTCAAGGGTACTGGGCAGTCGGACCAAACAAAAAAAATATATTACAATACATGACATCAAACCACACAAGGAGCTGCACAAGTAGGGCAGAGACTCTGGGAGACAGAGGTGGAGGGGGGGGAGAGACGGAAAGACAGAGGTGGA